TTTGAGGGAGTCATTTTTTCATATAATGTATCTTCTTAATGTCAATATTAGTAACGAAAAATACAAATTATAGAAAATCTTAAATATCAATGACAATAATGTTAATTTATAATTTGAGGTTGTGATAATTTCATATTTTCAAAATTTTCATACATAAGAAGGATTTAAAATTCAAATTGTTTATATTTCTATTTCAACTAAAAAAAGAAACATAAAATTAGCTCAGTTGTTTATTGTTTATGCATCTCGTTTCTTTCCTATAAAGGTCGGGATTCGATCCTCCATTCCCGCATTTGTTGTATTTATGTAAAAAAAAAAAATATATAGTATAACATTTCTATTTCTCGTTTCTCATTTTAGAGAACGGAGAAATGGTAACATGTTTATGTTTATTTTTTCAATACAAGAAGAAAAAACAAGAAACAAGAAGCATACAATTATATTTTTATTTATTAAAATAGAGGAAACGAGAAACACAAACATTATCAAACAAGCCCATAAATACTAAAAAAAATGATCGATCTTGTCGATTATTTGACATGTTAATTATTTGGTAGACATTAAATTATATTTATTTGGAAAAACAGATAAATCAAATCAAAGTTGAATACCAAACATGTCTTAACAATTTGACACTTTATCTAGAAAAAAGATTTAACCTAAAAACTCAATAAATTTCTTCTTAGTGATCTCATTTTGACTTATTCTCAGCTGACTAAATATACTTTGGGAAAAATTCAACCATTTTTCTTATTTGATGCCTTGATTAGATTAGTTTAGATAAAATCTAAGTGATGTAACAATTTTTTCTTATAGATTAAATTACCTAAATAAAATCAACATCATATTATTATATTACTAAAAATTCATGAAAAAAGAATAATTATAATTTGATTGGCATCTAGCTTGCAAGTCTTATGGAAATTTAACCAATAGCATGTATATTAATGTTAACATTTATTATAGAAAGAATTTAATAAAAACATAGTATGTAATTTCATGATTATGGTGTAAAAAGGCATATTTAAAATATCATAAAAAAATAATTCATTTTAATCCTTCAATAAAATTATACGACATATAAAATATCTATATAGTGACAAGSAGACTGTCATGTCACACCAAATCAACCAATATTTATTTATTAGRCATGCCATGTCAATGTTCGATATTAACATAAACAAAATATAAACATTTTTCAAAGTTCAGGTAGAGATCTTAATTGAAATTTGGCTCAAAATTAAAGGGTTATATTAAATTTATAATTTGACGTAAAATTTATAATAAAAATACCACTCATTTCATTTTGGCTCCCACTCGTTTAATTCAAACCATTACTAAAAGGATAACATTGACGAGAAATTTTTATTTATCTTAATTTTTTTTCCATTTTTTTGGGACTAAAATCTTTAGTAACCATAAATAAGTTTGATGAAGATTATTTCAAACCAATGTATGGYGAGTTTAGGGTTAGATGGAGACATTTTCCAAACTAGAGTTAGAATTTATATAATATAAACTCTAGAAAAGTAAGAGTATTTGTGACCTCAATTTGAAAAAGTCCAAATTATCCCAAAAAAAAAACAAAAAGAAAAAAGACTTTAGGGTTTTAAATTCATTACCCAAAACTTGTGAATTTTCCAAATTGGCAACTGTTTCATTTTATTTGCATGCAATTGGCAAACCCCACAAGCTCCAATGACAATTTCAAGGTCTCTCTCTTCCACTCAATTTGTTCTTTTGTTATTAAAGACATTATTATTTTTTTTTTTATAACTTTGGTTTATAAATCAATAAAGAAACATGAGATTAATGAGTTTTATTARTGTGATTTTGGTTGTTATTTTATTTCATTTTTTTTTGGTTTAGTAATATCAAGGCATGTGATAATCGAGAATATATACGTTAACTAGATGAGTTATATGTTCAGGTTAATTGTTACCTTTTATTTTAGTAATGTTATACAAAAAATAAATTAATTCGTCCAATCCTTTTGAGGTATAATCATAAATTAAAGTGTACTAAAAAAATTATGAATTAATTCTCAATTTGAATTTCTCCTACTTCTTACTAACAATAGAAATATCTAGTAAAGTTTGATGAAAGGATAAAGATAATAATAAAGTTTAGGAAAAATTGCACAAAAACCCTATAAGATAGGTTTTTTTTTATTATTATTTGAAGGAACAATGATCTATAAGTTTGTTTGTTACTATCACTCTTTTAACTTTCTTAATTACCATTATAAAGTTAAAGTTGTTACATTAAATCCTATGGTTATAAATTAACTCCAACTAGTAAATATCGAAAATTTTTAATCATCATGTGTGTTCTATTGRTCGAAAGGGATTARAGTTAATTAAGAGAGAATTAGTTCAAACCTCATAATAACCATCTATCATAGGAATTACTTAGTTGGTCCGGATAGGATATAAAAAAAAAAGTAAATGTCGAAAAATTTTATTGTAACAATTTCATAAGTTTAAAAATATATTTGCACAAATGTCATAGTTTTACGGTGGTTTCAATTTTTTTTTCTTTTAACGATCATTATACTTTAGAGATGTTTTAAACCATTTTGAACAAGTTACGACGATTTCATAAGTTTAGAGTATAATGTATGACTTATACCGATAGTTGGAAGATAAACCATTTTGAGGTTTTTTTATTGGAAAAAAAACTAATATGATTTTGATGGTTAAAACATCTAATAACTTCTTCAATTTTTTTAATATTAATTGCCCTTTGCGAAAGCAAGCAGCTCAGCAGTAATTGACATATACCTCTAACCATGAGGTTGCTGTACTAAAAAAAATTAATATCGTTTTTAATAAATAATTTTTTATTAGTGATGAACCCACATTATTTTAAAATAATGTTTGACGTGGTAATGAATATCCATATTCTCGTAAGAGTAATATCCATATTCTCGCAATGTTCCAATCATTTTTAATTTTAATTTTAATTTTAATTTTTCTCCAATTATTTATTTTTATCCAAAATGCATTTGAAACAAAATCCACATTCCCCAAGATCACGCGTACGCGGAATAAAAATAAAAACATGCTTCCACGTTTTCAGCCCTAATTCCAAATTCTTACCATTTGCCCTCTTTATTAATCCATCAATTTAAAATAAATCCAATTTTATAATTTCGTTCTTTTAAGGAAACTTTATTAAGGAAAAAAAAAATCAAAATCATGTGTATATTCATTACAAAGTTTACAGTAACATTTCTAAAATTTAAATTAAAATTAAGGAAAAAAGAAAAAGAGGAAGAAGAAGAAACTCAATCTCACTTCCTTCTACCATAGCTTCACACTGTAATCGCAGTTCTTCGAAACGATCTTCGCCGCCGCCGTCAGCCGATCCACCGTCACGTCGCATACTACCTTCACTCTGATCTTCCACGTCTTCACCGATCCTATTTTCAGTTTGATCGGTGCTCGAATCTCCACCTTCAACGGCACCGATTGCCGCCTCTGCGAATCGATCAGCGCCTCGTTCGCTTTCGTCGACAGATTTACGCCGGTTCCKCTCAACGTCGATCCGAACACAGTGACGTTCTTCGGCGGCTGGAAGAAGGCAGGCAAAACGCCGTCGGATAGCTTCACATCGGAGAAATAGATTTGGACGGAGCTACCTGATTCGTAGTAGATTCCGATCTTCTTGTTCGGATTATCCGCTCGGACGGAGACATCGAACTCCGGAGAGATCGAGGCGGCCGCGGACGAGTTGATTCCTCTAATCGCGATGGCGTCGATCGAGTAATTAGGCGATTTAGGGCGCACGACGAAGTAGAAAACCGCAACAGCGATTCCGAGGAGAACGATGAGAATAAGGAAGATCGCGAGAAGCCAGTAGAGGCAGCAGCAGCAGCGGCTGCGGCGGTGCTTGCGGCGAGTGTACTGCTCGAAGCGGCGAGCATTTTCGGGTGGCGGAACGCGGTATATCTGGTCCTTGGGGATCTGGATGACGTAGGTTCCAGGAGTCGGAGGCGGCTTCTCGGCGGCGGGAGAGAGAGGCTGAGGCTTGGTGGCGACGTCGGAGGCGGCGGAGGAAGTGCTCGGACGGGGGGAATCGGCGGGATGGACGCGTTCCGCCATGGGAGTGGGAGAAAAAGAGCAGAGAAATGGATGAAGAAGAAGGTGGGAGAAGGAGGAGGAGGAGAATTTATATATAAAAGAGGAAATATAGAAAATAATTTTTAAAATAAAAAAAGAGAGAGAAAATGAAAGAAAATGTGAGGTACAGTTCATGACTGGGTGTCAGAGATTTTGCGCACGCGCCGCAGTCGCCGAACACGTCAAATAAGGTACTCTCTCTCACGCGCCTTTTTTGTCCGTCGGTTTTTATCTCTCTCTTTATTATTATCTCAAGAAAATATTAAATTTATACTAATCTCGTTGATTTATTGATAACATGGTTTCTTGTTTATTTAGGTTTTGTAGTTGTGTTATTGTTTATTATTTTTAATAAAMAAATATGAACATACCCAGTAATTATTTAATACTAATCAAACAGAGCAAGATGTTTAAATGTCGAGTTAAACTCAGGTCGGTAGTTATAAAAAATTTTATTTCTCAAAACGCGGAAATAGAAATGTTACTATACGTTAATTGACACCTATCTACGATAAAAAAAGGTCATAAGTTCGAATCTCCTACCCCACTTGTTGTCTGTTAGGTAGAACTTTTAGTCTTAGGTCAAATTTTTAAAGTTCGTGGATGGCACAAAATTGAAAGTTAAATTACAAACTTTTTAAYGTTTAAGGACATATTATACACAAAATTGAAATTTAGAAGTTCAACATCTAATAGACACAACTCTCAAAATTTATAGACTAAAATTGTAATTTAACCTTTACTCCACCTTAAAACATTTCTTTACAGACTCCTTATCTTTCAATCTTGTGTCAAGTAAAATATTTTTCATTAATTCTGTCAATTTAAAACTKACCGTATTTAAACAAAATTGATATGGTCATGTATATTAAGTGAGATTTAATGATAACAATTTATTAAAATCAAATTCGAAAGTTGAAGTATATAATTAAAACTCCTTAAATTTTAGGAACACTGCGTTATAATTTTAATTTTATCATTACTTTTTGGGTTAAACATATAACTTTTCTAGAAAATTTATTGAAATCRTTTATGATTTATAGGAGTTATAACAATAGCATCTCCAACATTTGAATTTGAGCAATAATCCACACAAAGTTACCAAATCGTTATAACTAAACCTTCCCATTATAACTCCATTAGTTAATTAAGTATATCAAAAAGGAGAAAAAAGAAAAGAAAAAAAGTAATTAAAACATTAAGCTCATCTCATAATATARTTTACCAAATTCCAAATATGCTATTCCAAACTAATAAACGTAAACTTTAATGTATATTAAAAAGAATAATAACATATCGATTAAGATATCTATTTATTTTATTTAAAAATAAAAAATATGATCTGTATTTTTAAAACATAAAAAAACGGTAATTTATGTATTAGAGACAATTGGAAGAAGAATAAAGATATATTAATTTTTTCATAAAAAACCAATTAAAAAAATTGTATATAATTTTTGGCAGGCCGTGGAGTTGAGTTGGCAGACACGGTCTTTCTCTCTCATATCTTTGTTTTCATCAAAGAGAAAGAGGAGAGAGAGAGAGAGAGAGAGAGGATCTTTCCTCACACGTGGGAAGGGATAAACCTTCGTTCCAAATAGGAACGCGGAATTGTTGAACATTCTAGATTTGGAATTATAGCCTTAGTTCGGGAGGAGACTTAAAAAGACTTTAGATTTAAAAAAAAAAAACAACAACTTCCCTATCCCTGAAGCGCCTTAGCCTCAGTCAAAATAATACTATTTTGATTTTAGTTTTTTTATTTTCAAAATGTTTATTTTGATCTTTGTATTTTTAATTTTAGTTCGTTTTAATCTATGTACATTTTAAAAAAGTGATGATTTTGGTTTCTTAATTTTATTTTTTTTTTCTTATCATAGTTTCAACACGGCAATAAACTCAACATATTTCTTTATTAAAAAAAATCAACAAATAGGGACAAAATGGTTACTTTTAAAATATAAGGACGAAATTAAACAAATGCACAAAAACTAAAATGAACCAAAGTTGAAAGTACAAGGAACTAAAGTGAACATTTTGAAAGTCCACCGTTGAAAGTACATGGATCAAAATAGTTTTTTAACCCAAAAACTATGGGACATATTTATTTCTTGTCCTCAAGTTCTCTAAATAATCAAATAGATTCAATTAATATAACATATTTATTCTAAAATTGCTTTGGTAATTCAAATGGTGGGAATTTCGAAAACAACATTTTTATTTGCAGTGCAAATTCATAAATTCTTTTCATATTTTTTGGTGTTCTTATTTTGATAAATATACTATTTCATGTTATAAACTTATTTCATTTTTATTAAAATTAAAAAAAAATGTAAAATATGATATATTACAAATTATATAATATTGTAAAATGATAATTCTACAGAATCTAAAACATATATTTTAATAAATTAATTAATATTATTTCATATTGTAACTAACAATACTTTACAAATATATATTATTAAACACTTTGAATAATTTTTTAATCTACCAAACACATTAAAAAACAATAAAAACATAGAATGCAACTCCGTTTTTTAAAATGTAAAATAAATGGAGCCAAACAAGGTCTCTCTAAATATGAGCTCATATTTTGTGTTTTATTTGCATTTAAAAAAAATAATGTTTTTTTTTCAGTATCACGTATGTTTGGTTTTTTTGAAGTAAAAGTACCCTTTTAAACCTTAAGTTTTTTCTAATTTAGTCCCTAGCTTCTATTTTAATTTCTTAACTTTTTAATAAATTTAAATTTCAATCTTTATTATTAATTAAAATTTAAATTCCAGGTATAACTAATAATTCTTGAAATGGAGTTAATGATATAGACATTATTATACTTGCACAAAATTAAAAAAATGGATTGGGTTAAAGCGTATTTAATAATCAAAGAAGAAAAAATAAGTTGGAAGATTATTAAAGAAAATCTTGCTAGAAAATTTTGATCATTCAAGATCATAAATGTTATATGTATAAAAATAAAAATGTAAGGCTACTATTTCTTTGAAAGATTTTAATTTAGATCGATTAGCTTATCGAAATTTGAAGAATTGACAATAATTTTTAGTGATTAAATTGAAAATAAGGATAAATTTTAGGAATCCAAAATTATATTTTGACTTTTTACTGTAAGAAAACATAGATCTAAAGTAGATCGATAGACTAGATATATGTTTTAGTCCTTCGTGTTTGGACATTTTTTCAATAGTCCATAATGTTTTAGACGTTTTCAACTGATTATGTTTTAACATTTTTCAATTTAATTCTTCAACGTTAGTTAATGTTAAAATTGGCATTAAACTTACATGCCTTGATACTCTGTAAATTCGCATAATTTTAGAGAGAAAAAAATGTCAGATAAAAATGGAAATTTCTGATTCTCTCTATATTTTTACTAAATTAGTAGAAATTTTGAGTTCCTTCTCTTAGATAACATTTTCTATCTTCAAAATTTTCGTTAATTTACTACGTATTATGCCGATTTTTCATCTACCAATTTTAACATTCTCCCATAATGAGAGACTAAATTGAAAAGTATTATGATATAAAGGATTAAATTGAAATCTTTTAAACAATAAACACTAGATTGGAAAAATTCCCAAAGGTGCCCCCAACAAACTTGTTCTTGAAGGTCTCATTTTGGATAATATTAAAATGAAAAATGAGGAGGGAGGGAGGAGTTGGTAATTACCCAAATTATTCATATATGACTTCTTCAGATGAAGTGTAAACAGACCAAAAATGACAATTTCTTCAAACCCATCCATTAAAGAAAAAAAAAGTATATATTTTGGTGAGATGAATGGTTGAAAATTCTTGTCACATTTTCCATGTAATTCACATGATAAACCTTATTAATATTTTAATATATTAGAAATAGATAATCTCTATTTATAACCCTATTTACATTCTAATTCTCTATATTAATTAATGAAGTGATATCATCATAGATAAAAGTACCTTAAAAGACTTGATTGGTAATTTTCATATTTCTTATTTATCGTTTCTAATTTTATTAAGAAACCTTTAAGTATTTGAAAATCTAAATATTTTGTATAGAAATTTTGGAAATAACGAAAACAAGTTGTTTTCTGGTTCCCGTTTTTAATTTTATTCAAAACATAACTAAAAATATTGTTTTATCATATTATTGAATCTAGGTAGGGGTGTTGAGGTCATACCATTCTAATTTTTATTTATTAAAAAAAGGAAGAAATAGAAAAAAAAAATGGCACAAAATCTTCAAATCTTCTATGTATGTATTGCTTGGGGATGTGGATTTCTTCAGCTGCTCAACTTCTTCCACTTTATAGCTTTCATTTGAATCAATCAGCACCCAAATGCCCTTTTTTGTCATTTCATGTTTGGTTCTCACTCATACATCATTTTACAATTCACAAGTTTTAAAAGTTTTACATTAGTTAGGTTAAATTGTTCTTGAACATACTTCAGCTTTACCCCCATCATGTAAAAAGTTTTACTTATCTCTAAAATTATTTTAAATGTCTCGAATAATTTTACGTTAAAATAAGTGATGGAAACTGATGTGGCTGCTAGTTGTAAACCTAGTAGTGCGCATGTTTTGCGAATGCATCGATGACAATTTTTCAAAAACTGTCATGTACGTACGTTCTCCCTTTCTTTGATGCCATAATCTATGATAGTTACAAACCGTCACAAATCCAGTTAATGACAATTTTAAATTGTCATTGAAGCTCATATCTTGATAGTGAACAAATATATTCGAGACCACTAACATTATTTTCCCTCTTTCCAGAACTTCTAAACTAATTAAGAAATGAGGTAGTACAAGACATCGACGATCAATAGATCAAAGATCGAAAATCATTCAATCACCCGCTAAATTGAAGAGAGTAGAGGTATCTCGCCTAATATTATAGGGAGAAGGGTGCATGTTGGAACCATTGAAATATTATTTGTGAAATAATAATATGAGTTATGCAGTGCTGGTGTAATACTTGATTGGGTAGGTTTATTCTTTCAACAGAGTGAGATGTGAGATATGAAATGTGTTGTGATAATACTTTATTCAGAGTGATTTTAATTCAAATAGTTAGACTTAAATTGGTTATACATAAAAACAAACGACAACTCATATAAAATATTATCTTTTAGTTATCGCGAGACTGTTCTATTATCCAATTTCGAGAATTGGAAATTGAATTGACAAGGTAAAGAACTCTACAATATATAGAATATATGGAATACCACAGAAATGTTTCTTTTTTTGAATTGTGCATTCAATTTATTTCAATCAAATAAGTCGTATCTTGTTCAGACCGATAAATAAAGCTGAGGTTATAGTTAAAACTGCTAGTAAAAAACCGAAATAACTAGTGATAGTAGGCATGACGAGGCTAAATGAAATACGTTATTTTTATCCATATGTTTATAAAGCACTTCCCTAAGTTTCTATTTTTGAAAGATACGCGGATGGATAAGTAAAAATACCAATTGAAAGAATAAATTCAATTGAAAGTTTTTGATTTATCTATTATTATCATTATAGATGATACTAACAAAAATCTTGTGACATAGGTAAGAAATCAATTCGGCATCTGTCTCTCTATCCCGCGATTCCGAATCAACGGATTCATTGGACAACTCAAGAGTTGTAAAAACTAATATTCTTATTATAAACAATAATTTTTTTATAAAATATTATCTTTTAGTTATCGCGAGACTGTTCTATTATTCAATTTCGATCACATCATTTAAGTATTTATTCAGTCTACTAAACTTTTTTTTAATGTAGGGACAAAATTAAGACTTTTAAAACATTGGAAATAAAATTAAAAGAAATATTATAAACTATATTTTCCCCTCCCACATGCTTTGGAAAAATGGGCAGTGTTTTGTAGTTTAGTAAAAAAATTTGCCAATTTTTCAAAGTGCTTCCATTTGTGTGAAAATGGAAGGTTTATTGGCTTATAACTTGTCCTTTGTTCATGTTCCTTCTTGTCAAACGTCAAGACCATTTCTCTGTATTTCTTCCTTTGGATTTTATTTTATTTTATTTATTTTTTACTTTTAGATACGGAGGACTCGAACCTAGATCTTGGATATCAACACCCAAGCCTCTTGTCACTGTGCCAATACCCTAACATGCTTCTTTGGATTTTATTAATTGTTCTTTGAAATAGTTTAACGATTATTTTTTCTTTTTGACTTTTCTTTTCATTTATTTTTATCGTAATATTACATGAACAGATATAAATCAACGGTATCGATGATATTTTATTGGTCAAGTTTTCATTTTCAGTTTATTTCTCTTTCTTGTTAAGTCTAGCCTAATAAATGAGAAGAAAGTCATAAATTTAAAAATTCTGGCAACAATTAATTTGATTTGATTGCGAGGTTTAGATTCAAGGTTTGTATTTAATTCAAACTTTTTCTATTTACATTCACTTTTTATTTATTATTTATTTATTTATTCTAATTAATCGGTTTTTCAGTTTGGCTTTGGTCTAGTCTTTGCCATATATTTGTATTTATCTTGAAAGCGAAAGCTAATTTTCAATTTCGTGAAAATATGTTTGGACAAATATTTTAATACATATATATAGATATATATATATACACATGTGTTTATATATATTTCTTAAAATACAAATTTACCAACAATATTTTCATTATGTAGAATAATCTTTTATATATATATATATATATATATATATATATATATATATATATATCTTCTAAAGTATATATATTCTAAAGTACAAACCTACGTACAGTATTTTCCATTTGTATAATAATCTCGCATCCAATCACATTTCTCAAACTACATCTTATGTTTCTTTTTCAAAAAAAAAAAAAATCTACTTGAAAATACAAGATAGTTTTAAGAATAATATAATTTTAAGAACAAATTACAAAAATAATGCAGATTTAAAAGTAATAACAAAATAAATGTAATTTAAAAAAAATTATAAAATTAAGCTAGACATCTAAACTATTGAAAAAAATATGTTAGATGTGGATCAAAATAAAAAAACAAATACAATAGATGTCATTTCCCTTCCAATATTCTTCAAACTACATTATTTATGTCTTTCTTTTTAAAATACATCATTTAAAAAAATCCAACAATACAACATCTTAATTATTGAGAGATTTAAGAAAATAGCCTAAATCAAATTCTAATTCCTTCATGAACAGTAAATACAAACTCCTGTTAATAAATTATAATTCTAGCGTATGACATGGTTGATAGTAACTTCATTTGAAATAGATCGTTGCTATAGATAATTGATCAGACSAAGTGCTTAACAAGGTAATTAATTTAATATTCTACGTGAACACTCTATGAGATTGTTTTATCGTTATTTTTTTTTTTAGTTTTTTAAATGGGAAGTATTTTCATGTAATACCATCCTTAATATTTGGTGACAATGAAGACTTTATTATATATAAAAAAGAAATTAAGAATGTAACATTTAAATATGTTTTTCTTCATTTATAATTTATTTTTATATTATTTTTTAATTCCATAGGATTGAAAATCCAGCTTTATGGCAACCATAWTTGAAGGATGTGAAGAAAAATGGCATAAAATCTGAAAATCTTCTATACATTGCTTTGGGATGTGGGTTTCTTCAGCTGCTCAGCTTTCACTTTAGCTTTCATTTGAATCAATCAACAAACAAATGCCCTTTTATTTTATTTATTTTGTCATTTCTTGTTTGTTTTTCTCACCATTGGCTCTATATATTATTTGTTCCACACTTATACATCATTTTACCATTCCACCCTCATCAAGTTTTACTTCAAAATGCACTTGAATTTTGAGATTAATTTCAACTGTTTACGGTTAGATGAGTGATAATCTATATACCACAGATCACTCTCTTCCCTAACTAATTTAGGACTTTGTTTGTATTTCTTGCAACTCAATGACGCCTAAGTTGTAAATGTATTAGTGGTAGATGTAGCAAGTTCAGTAAGTACTTATAACCGTAYTCGAGATCATTCACATTACTTCTCCTCTCGCGAGAGTTTTTAGACTTGCTAAAAAGTGGCCTATCTCTAGAACAATACAGGTTTCAATGAACTAATTCAAGCACTAATAAAGGCAAGGCAAGATATCGATGATCAATAGACCAAAGGAACGAAAGCTACTTAGTCACTCGTTGAATTAAAGAGAGTGAAGYCATCTGACCTAATATMATAGGAGAAACGTGTCCAATCTTCTCTGTGAAATTGAATTATGAAAGATATTATATATGAAGTGCATGTATAATACATTATTGAGTAAGTTTCTTCTTTTAATGGGGTGAAGTATGAAAGGTCGTGTGATGATATCTTATTATGGACCTGACTTTAATTCAGGTAGTTAGATTTATATTGGTTGTATATTAAAAAAATTGACAAACTCATTAATATTGTTTTTACAACGTCATGATCCTATGCTATTATTTTATTATTCAATGTCAACTATATATTGAATACCGACTCGAACCTAACTCAACTGGTTAACACATATATTATTGATCAAAAGATCGTATGTTCGACTCCCCTCTCCCGCGTATATTGAACTAAAAAAAGAAAACTACATCTCTGGCAAATGGACACTATTTTGTAGTTTAATAAAAAAGATTGCTAATTTTTTCAAAGTGCCTCCATTTGTATGAATAGGGAAGGTTTATTTTGAGGAAGTGGAGGTCCCAAGTTGTTTTATTGGCTTGACTCGTCTTTTGTTCATGTTCCTTCTTGTCAACACTATTTCTTTTTATTTCCTTTGGAGTTTATTTAATTATATAATATATTTTTGAAAGAGTTTATGTTTAACAATTTTTTTTTCCCTTTTGACTTTTCTTTTTCCTTTATTTTTATCATAACATGACATCAAAATATAAATCTCAAGTTTTATTCCATTTTCAATTCGTTTTTCTAGTTAAGTCTAGTCTAACAAATAAGATTAAAGTCATAAATTCAGAAACTTTGACAAACAATTAATTTGATTTAATTGTGGGACTGAGATTCAAGGTTTAAATTCAATTTAAATTCGTCAATTAGTATAACTCATCTAGTTTAGGCATCTTTCTCTAACAGTTTAAATTGCCACATGTTGTATTAAAATAATTAATTCAATTCTTTTCCATGATTTAAATTTTTTTCTTTATTCTAAATAGTAAATAGTCAGTTCCTAGTTTCGTAATTTTTGTTTTTCTTTTTAATTTTCAACTCTTTTTTAGCTCGCTTTTGACCTAGTCTTTGCTTTGTAAATGAGCGAAAGCTATTTTTCAATTTCGTGAAAATATATATATATATATAATTTTATTTTTTTCTTCGGAAACTACAAATCTACAAACAATATTTTCAATATTTATAATAATCTTGCATCCAATCACATTTCTCAAACTAAATCCTATATTTCTTTAAAAAAATTTCTTTACTAACAATACAACAACTTAATCATTGAGAGCTTTAAGAGCAACCRAATAGCCTAAACCAAATTCCAATTCCTTCATGAACTGTAAATACAAACTCCAGCTAATGAATTATGGGATTATGTACTAGTTTATAGAACAAATTACATCGCGGATCGACTTGAAAACACAGCGCAAAATCGACAAAAATCGACAAAAATGACTGCTTATTGATAATTGAAAACAATGGTGTTAGCAATAAAAAAACTTGATGTTAGAGCTTCTGTACCAATTCTACTGCACAATCACTGAAAGATCTTCATAGACAGTTTTCATGTCAGGTCTCTCAGCTGCTGGTAGAGTGCATCTTAGAGCCATCTGAAGCATATCTTCGAGTTGTTTAGGCAGCTGCTCGTCACTGTCGATGTCGAGAATCATCCTGTCAATGCACTCGTCGAAACGGTTTTCTCGGGCTAAGAACCTCACCCAGTCTGTTAGATCAACAACTCCCGGGATCCCACAAACTATTTCCCCTGAACTTCTTCCTGTTAGGAGCTCCAACAAGATGACTCCAAAGGCATAGACATCACTCTTCAGGGATGGACATGGCTTGCTTGAGCTTGCGAATTCGGGTGGCCGATAGCCTAAAGCACCTGCATTCAAAACTTGCTCTGCTGTGCCAGCCGGGGTTAGTATGCGGTGGAGACTGTAATCTGTAAGTCGTGCATTCATAGTCGAAGTTTCTAACAAAATGTTTGAGGATTTCAGGTTGCCATGCGGGATTGCCTTCTCGTTATGGAAGTAGTTTAGACATCGAGCTATGTCCAAAGCAACTTTAAGACGGTCCGGTAGAGATAATGGTAAGACTCCTCCTCTCTCCGTCTCTGCAGAAAAACGAAAAACGGTCATTCAATCATAAGCAATAAGTTTCTAACTTTCTAATATTTACTCAGTGTTTCATCGAGGTAAAGGCGGATTGATTCGATCTTACCTTGAAGATAGAAAGCCAAAGACTGTGCATTTATAAAAGTTGATATAACAAGCTTCTCGTGATCCCTCGGGCCCCAATAGTATCCGTTTACGGAAACTAARTTCGGGTGTTTAATACTCCCGAGTTTCTTCACCTCTCTTGCAAATTCCTTTTTTCCTTTTGCCATTCCCTCCCTCAGCCATTTGACAGCCAATACATGTCCAGAGTCGAGCGTTGCCTTATACAACGTCCCGTGGCAACTTTTCCCTACAATTTCTGCAGGAGCACGTGAAAGTTCTTCCGCTGTGAACGCCAAGGAGCCATCAAAAAGATGTAGATCCCCAGCCAGTTTATCCGGAGAGTGAACTTTGAGTGTCCGGGGATTATCGGGATGTTGCCGGCTTTTCGAAGGTGATGGATTTGAAGATGACATAAGAGACATGGGAGAGGACATCCCTTCCCCTTTTCCTATTGGTTCATGATAGCCAATATCTCTAGCCTTGTCTGAAACTGACCACATGTCGCCACCAACATGACCCTCCCCCCGGTGAGATGGCAGAAGATCTTGACGAAAACCAGAMGAAGGCATTGATGCATTCTTCTTTTTATCGGTTTCGGATTGATGAATAACAGAAGAAGCTTCTTCCAAGGCACCTTCCTTTCCATCATTGGTTGAAGTTGTCGTTCGATCCAACTTTTGAGCCCTGTAATATAACATAATGCAAAAAATAACTACCAATGCAGCAACTACAATCRGGCCTGCAATGAGGACGATTCTAACGACCGGTTTCATACGAGACCGGTTCATGGTAGAAGATAGACCAGGGAAGTCTTTTGGAGTTGATGAGGAAGAAGGAAAAATCAGTAAGGAATTTCCAGGATGGAATGCCGACTCCGAAAACCTCCTCAAGTTCCCAGGAACTTCACCCGAAAGATTATTAAACGACACGTCAAACCCATTCAAACTATTTGGAAGGTTATTCGGGATGACACCGTCGAAATAATTTCGGGATAGATTGAGATACACCAAGCTTTGGAACTTACTCAACTCTGAAGGTAAGTGACCGGTCAATGAGTTATGTGACAGATCGAGAGATGTCAGGCTCGAATTTTGTAAAGAAGAACTTGAAGTTGAATCTATACCATCAGAGAGTGGTATCGAACTGGTGAAATTGTTGCCCGCAAGATTAAGATAAGTCAACTTCAATGAGTGAAAAAGGGAAGAAGGAACGGGACCGTTAAGTCGGTTATGGCTTAAATCAATAACCTCAAGTTCGGGATATGTACCCAACACGGTCGGAAGAACACCCTCCAATAAGTTGTTGGAGACTTTCAATGAAGTTAGCCTCAAGAATTGAGAAGATTTGTTTGGCATTGTTCCAGTCAACGAATTTGAACTCAACTGAATAACTTCCACATAATTTCCCCAACTCTGAATCCGAGACAGATTACCCGACAGCGTATTATTACTGAGATCTATGACAGCACAATGCCCAACATTAGCAGGCAAGGAACCCGTCAATTTGTTTGAAGATATATTAAGCTTCTTCAGAGTTGTTGAAGTAATACTCCCAATTGGACCTGCCATGGAATTAAGTCGTTAGAAGTTAAGAAGATAGATAATCGGAGGAACCAGAATTTGAGATGCTTTTACGGTTTATGATCAGACAAAACCATATTCATCTGCTACTATAGAACAGTAAGACTCGTTTGAAAAATCGAACAGGGAACGACTACTAGATTCATTAGATGGAATAGTTCCTTCTAACAGTCATGGAATAACTAAAATGAGTAAAGAAACACATTAGAAGGCAAAAGATACAGGGCCATTGAAAAATTGTAACCCATAACTTCAACATGATTGGAATAGAAAACAGTTGTTTCTTCATTTGTAGTTTTTTTTTCTCTCTCGATTTCGAAATGTAAAAAGAAGATGCACTCGTCTTTTTAACTCAATATTGCTCATTTCACCGACCATGCGGGTTTAGGCTTAACTAATGTATAAAGAACCAAAACTTCTACTATTGCCATTTTTTCTTCCTTGAAGGCATCTTCAATTCTTCTATTGAAGCATAAATGCTACAATGAATAACAATGTCAAATTTCTTAAGAAGTTCAAATTTTAAACAGTCAAGATATTAACAAATCAATATGCATTTAAAATTTAAATGGTCAAAAGAGAGCATATAACATTCCTTCAAAAGACAATGTATCATGTGAATAGGTACCTTGAAGCTGGTTAAGGCTAAGATCCAGTTCAGTCAACAGCATCGAGCTCTCACGTAAGAGACCTCCTGGAAGCGACCCCGATAACTTGTTGCTTCCAAGTCGAAGTATCCGTAGGGAGACCACAAAATTGAAGGAAGGTATGGTGCCAACAAACTGATTGTTACTGGCATCAAAAACCTCCAAGCTATCAAAATATGGCATCCCATCATGAGGAAAGAGCACTCCAGTCAAGAGATTATAACTAATATTGAGATATTGAACTGACGAGATGAAAGACGGATTCCCAACTCCCGCGTCCATCGAACCGGTAAACTGATTACTACTCAAGTCAACATGTACAACACTACCCATTTGAGACAAAAGCCGTGTGATATCCCCCGAAAAGCCATTACCCCGCAAGTCAACATACTCCAACTTCTCCAGCTTACTAAAACCAGAAGGGAAAGCCCCATCAAATTGGTTTGAAGAGAGATCAAGGAACGCCAAGTTACTTAAACCGAACAACAACTCGGGTACCGAACCGCGAAACTTGTTGCGAGATAGATCCAAGAATTCAAGTGACTTGAACAAACCAAGTTTCACTATAGTCCCAGTGAACTGGTTGTCTGAAAGTGACAAGTTATGAAGCATAGAAAGACCACCAATGGCAGCAAAACTAAACTCACCGACTAGACCAGCATTATCAAGAACAAGAGAAGTGACACGGCCATTGACACAAACAACTCCAAACCAATTACTGGGGCAGCCATTAGAATCCAGGGAGAGAGATTCCCATGAATCAAGCTGCCCAGAAGGGTCCTTAACAATGCCTTTCTTGACCTCCAAAAGTGCATCAAAATCAGACTGTCCCAAAACATTCACAAACAAGAACAACAGGAAAACTATCAAACAGGTTACCTGCATTGCTCCTCAAGCCAACCAAAGAGCCCAAAACCCAAAATCTCCAATGGGAAACGTAAGTGAAACAAGACAGAGCCAATACAAGTCCGAGCTAGCTCCAACTTTGAACCTTAATTTGTGGGTTCAAAGAGTGATGTACAGAGAACAAGAATTGGGAATCCAAGAGCAAGAATTTACAGCAGTGAGCAAAATGGGCAAAAGGGGTGGAAGGGGAAGAGGTGAAATCAGTGGCCAAATTCCTCAGGGGTCAGATCCCGAGAATTGGGGAGGAGGGAGCATAATGGGAATCGAGAGAAACTGAAAGCAGAGCAGGAAAACGTAAGAACCCACATTCCAAAAGAAGTGGAAAAGTGAAATAGAGGGCGGAGAAGGCCAAAAATGGAAGTGGGTGCAGAGGGAAAATGGTGAAAAATTGGGAATAGGGAGTGAAAATGGAGATCAGAGGGGGAATTAGAGTAGCAGTAGGGGAGTGGGAAGCTGGTAGGTAGTGCTGCCAACTAATCAGCTTTCTTTTTTTATTGAGAGAGATAGAGAGAGAGAGAGAGGATGAATGAATGAATGAAATGAAGTGAAGGGTTTGAAGTTTGATTCCTTGACTTTGACTTGAGAGTTRATTTTTCTGAATCGGTTGGCATGTTTGAATAGTACCGCTCTTTCAGATCCCAATGCATTCACCTCATCAAGGATGAAGATGATGGGATTGCCTTCTTTCTCCGTCTCCATCTTCTCGCTGTCGCGAATTTAGATTCTCACTACTGTTGTACTGAAAAATGTTTGCATCAATTGAATTCTAGGCAAAATACCAAAAAAGAGAAAAGAAAATCACTTTTACTTTTCAAATCAATCGATGTCTTTATTACTTGAGGTAATTATACTCTAAACCGTAGAATTTCTTATTCTTACAATTACATCTCCTATATTTCACGAAGCTAAAAATTAAGTATTTTTTTAAATCAATAATGACCTTTAAGATGATACTAAGTACCTTATCCATCCTTTTAAATTAAGTATTGAAAGATTATTATTAATCAATTAATTAAGGTATGTTTTGTTCCTAGTTGTTGGAGAATCGGTGTTGTTCCATTTATATGATTGATGCTAATCAGAGCAGTTGTCTACGRTAGTTATAGTTATGTTSGAATTGAATGAAGAACATTAATTGTCAAATTTATACACCCATTAMCATCTAACTTTTTGTTATAGTTATACTCTTATAACTTATAAAATTATCGCGATTAAATTTGAGTTATAATAATATGATTTAATTTTATTAAAATTAATTGCAACGGTTTTTCGAGCTTAAAGGGATGTTGCTCAAGCSAAARCGAGTATAGTTTAGTGGTAATTGGCATATATTTCCTTSAACCAAGAGGTTGTGAGTTCGATCCCCCACCACCATATGTGTTGTACTAAAAAATGGACGTTGCTCAAATTGAGAGTCACGCACYCATAAATTTGGTTAAAAAATACTTTTAGTCCATATACTTTCATGAAAGTTACAATTTTGTCCCTCAACTTTAATTTGTTAATTTAGGTGAATTTACTCCCTATACTAATTTGTTAAAAACTGTAGTTTACAATGATTTAGTCCATATACTTTAGTCCATGTTTTGTGTGAAAATTTTTGTTAATTTTCTTATATATGTAGATCAATAAATTTATTAGGGACCAAATAGGTCTATAAATTACACAGACTAAATAGTTATATCGATATTTAATTTTGATTAAATTTTTTACCTGGTGAAGAACTAAATTGTTACTGTTTTTAAACTTAATTTAGGAACTAAATTGTTGTCCATTAAAAGTACATAGGTCAGAGACTAAATTGTTATTTAACCTAATTAAAAAATAGGAGACAAAAAATTTCTATTAAATAATATTAGAAAATTTTATGGACAGAAAAAAAAAGAAGTATATAGCAAAAACTAAGTTTTTTTCTTTTTAGCTAAAATTAAGTTTTCGGGAATTGAATTCATGATTTCTTAATAAAAATAGGTATGAATTATCATTTCGGTAAAAAAAAAAAACAAATATGAATTACTACTGAGCTAAACTCATATTGGTATATTCAAAGTTCGACGTATAAATCTGAATGTATTTATATAGTTCTTTCCCTAGTACATATCAACTATGTGCACCCATATAAATATTTGCAAATTTTAATCAAAAAAAAAGAATGACAAAGTTGACTTTAATTAAAATATATATATATATATATATATATATATATATATATATATCATTAATTAAAGAACATCATGATACTTCAAATGTTTGCATCCAATTAAAAAGAGACAAAAAATCGCTTGAGTAATATTAATTAAGAATTGGCATTTGCGTTTCCATTGAAAACAGCTTTGTAAATACTATGGTTAAAATGTCTTTAGTTCATTGTGGGTTACTTTTAAAAGGTCTTTACTTTCAATTTATTTATTTAAAAAAATATTTTATTTATTTTAGTCCAAATTTTTTTAGAACGTAGTTTTAGTCACTGTACTTTTAAAAAGTGACTATCTTGATCTTTGTTCTAAAAATTGTAGTACAAAATTTATACGTATGAAAATCTTTAAAACTATATTTTAAAAAATTTAGTGAGTAAAGAAATCGTGATTGAAAAAAAAGAGATCAAATAAAAATAAACAGACAAAAATAAGCCCTTTTTAAATGTACAKGACTAGAACAAGTATCTGAAAAGTATACGAACTAAATGAACCAAAGTTTAAAGTAAAGAGACTAAAATAGACCTTCTGATAATACAGGAACCAAAATAGTATTTAAAATTAAAATTCTTTATTTATAATTTTTAAAAGTAAAAAAACTAACAATAAATATTACACTAATTGTAATTTATTAAAAAAAAATGAAAATTTAAGATCTGATTTGTTATAAGGTAATAATTCAAGAATGAAATTATGCTTTATGGATAATTATTATTTTGATGTCATTATTTCTTCATGGTTTTATAAAAGAAGTCTTCAGGTTCGAGAGATTTGTAATTTAGATGATGTCTAACCCGTGATAAACTTTTAATGTGATTTCTAATAGATCCTTCAACTTTTTTTAAAAAAATATCATAGACGTCTTTGAATTTTAATTTTGTGTTTAAAGATCCTCAATCTATTTAGATTTTTTTAAAAAAAAATATTCAGGAATCTATTAAATACGAGATTGAAAGATCAATAATATATCAKATACAAAATTAAAAGTTGAAAGTATCAAACAGCAAATACAACCATAAAAGTTTAGTGACCTATTAGACACTTTTAAAAATTCAAGAATTTATTAAACACACACGACTCTTACGCAATGACTCTCACATTCACCACTAAATTAAATTATTCGCCATCTACAAAGTAATAGTCTTGCTTGCTGTAACCTTAAAGAAAGAATGATTCTATTTATTACTATCCATAGCCAGAAGGGTTGGAACACCTTTCAAACAGTATAARTTACAACTTCGACTCCAAAAAGAGAGATTTAACTCTGATTCGCCAGCATCCACTGTCGAAAAGAATTTMTTCACTTACCACCTGYTCATATTCTCTCTATTCCTATAGTTGGACTGAAAATAAAAACTAGTTCAAAAACTAAAYTTATAATTTAACCYTAAAACTTCCTAAAAACATAGGAACAAAATCRACACGAACATGACGGAGTGTAATAAATTCAACCCAAAAGATCAATAGAGAATTACGAAGATGCCATTGGGGCTAGGTAAGACACAAGGATGGAATTGAATGCAATGCTTTTAATGCAAAGATGCCCAAAGAAAGTGACACACACACCCATCCTTATGAAGAGACAAAAAATCCCTTACTAATTTGGATGAAAGTGGGTACAAGTTTTTGCACTCAAATTTTTATGTCTTTTCTCTAATATTTCTAGATTCCCTTACGATGTTCTTCCTCACTTTTTCATCTTCTTCTTTATTGTTCTTTATACTTTCTATGTTGTGACCAAATGGAAAACTTACYCTTTCTTTTCTAATTTTGTCTCTATCTTTGTGTCATTTTCCAAATTTTTTCTTTGATATTCGTGAATATTCATACCAATTTACGCATATCTTGACTAATCTCGCAAGATAACTGTCTGACCTTACAACATTTTGTGTCAAAAATTACATAAAAATTAATTCACGAGGCACGTGACCATTGTGGACGATTTGAACTCATTCTCTCTCAATTCATCCTAGTCTCTTTGGTCATTTTTCAAYGTCATCTATATGATAAATTTCCATACGCTAAAACAATAAAGAATTGTAGGCTAGAAACAAGATTGAACACTTACAATATTATATATGGTTGTTTCGTATTGGTAAATTCAAGCACATGACATCCTTATTAAATAAAAGCCTTCATAACTCTAAAATGAAGGTTGAAAATTAAACTCAAATCAAATCAAAATATTATATGASCCATACTCGCCCACCTCCCAACATATTAAAATGGCTAAAGATTTCTCGGATCATGCTCTACAAGAGGATTGGGTTGGATGCAGCACAAGATGAGGAATTCAATCGCTCCMATTAGTTAAGACATTAGTAATATTGGATAGAATCTTGTCTAATACACGAGAAATAGTTCTTCCTCTCGACAGTGGACAAACATGTCGGAGGAAATTATGGACTTAACAAGCATGGTTCCTCTGGAAAGACGATCTCCCCGCAAAGAGAATTAGGTACGATTTCGCACAAGTACCTAATGTTTGACATACCTTTTAGTTTAACTCCATAAAGACTCGCTTTTCCCTCCTTCAAAACYATGACTACTTTTCAACTAACTGGAAGAGGTTTCTGAAATCTCCTTTTACAATTTTACAAGTGTATAATTGATTTTAAAAGAAAGGTCAGAAAACAAAGAGAAGACATAAAAATTTTGATTTCTCTAGTTGAACATTCTGAATTACCTAAAAAAATAACCAAAAAGGAAACTCATTTGGTATATAAATAGAAAGGCTGAAGAACGAAACTAACAAAAATTAATATATTACTAGTGCACAGCAGATGGGGCAGAGAGCTGAACCCAAGCAAACTCCTCCTTGTAAGCTACAGTTGACTCACAGGAGGCTTCACAGGTATACACAACTATCGTCGCCCAGTCGAGCGAGTCCACATCATTCTTTACTCCGAAATAATAAAGCAATTGAGGCAAGATCTGTTGTCACCCAGAGCAAAAATCCAAACGTGAACAAAAAAAAGAGAGGTGCAGGATGTTCTTTAAATTATAAGTTTAGTTCTTAAACTTGCAGATGGTGTTAATAGATCTTTAAACATTAAAAACGGTCTAATAGGCTAAAATTTCAATTTTGTGTCTAATAAGACCTTGAACTTTAAACATGTTGTATAGGCTCTAGAACTTTCAACTTCATGTCTAATAATTTGAGCATTTTAAAAAAGGCTTAAYATGTCGAGACACAAAATTGAAAGTTCAGAGACATATTAAATACTTTTAAAGTATAGGATCCCTAAGGGGCAGCCTAGTCGGCAAGGGCTTGAGGTCGGCTTGAGGTCTCTTGGTCATACTGGCTCATAGGTCTCAATTTCAAAACCTCCTGGTGAGCTTAATACAAAGAACATACAGAATCTTGGGGTGGGCGCAATTGCCCTTGGATATAGGGGAGCAAAGCAACTTTTAAAGTTCAGATCTCTTTAACCGAACACCAAACAAGTCGCCTATAAAGATGCAAATACCTGAAATTCATAACACATGGGTCCGCTGCAGTAACTGCATTTTGGAATATCTGCTTTGGAGGGCCGACCACTTGACATTGGCCACAAAGGTTTAGAGCCAACGTCTCTACAATACCTGTGGTTGTGTTTTTTCATCAATAAAAATTAATAACATAATCAACCTCATTGACTGATAGATGAAGACTACATGAGGCAAGATCAAAATGCAACTGCAAAAATAAGGCAACTGCACAGCTTGATCATCCTGCATCCGTTACTACCATGCCATCAGTTTAGCACACAAATTATGATCAATTTAGTACTTTTCTACTCTGAATATTTTGCAATCAGATCTCTAGCTATTACCAACAATTTCTGCACATTTTGAACATATAGTAACTGGATGAAAAATCATACAATCTTTTAAATTGTTATTTGTGTACCCAAATGATGTAAAATCAAAGAACTCCCTTCTATTTTAATTCAGATAGACGCGAAACTGGAGAAATTTATAACATAAATGATGGGTTAAGATTATATGAGCATTTAATGGAATACCACAGAGCACTAAATCTGTAGGGAAGAATAATACAATGAAGTTTCATCAAGAGATTAAAACGTTAAAAAGATTTATATAAAAAAAGGTACAAAAGATCTCAGGATAGATTCTAAAATTTATTGTTATTTTCATTTGGTTGCAGTTCCTGCCAAGCATGCTAGCTTTTTATGAATAGGCTAAAAGTTTAACATGATACTAAGATTTAAATTTTATTTAGCCCACTGGTTTGTAGGCTTCAGCATCTAAGGTAGAAGAAAGTCCAATCCATTCCTAATTTACATAATATCAAGCAACTGATCAATTTAAAATAATAAAGTCTTGAGATTTCTTCTTCTAAAATAAAGGATGGTGCATGCCCAAGCTCAACTTACTTAATAAAACTTCAGTTGGAAGTATTAAATATTACCTCAACACTTGTTCAGGAGCCTTTGATAAGCGATCTTGGAATGAGGCCCAAGACTTTCTATCATCATCTCCCTGTTTACCAAAAATGTCCTTAGATTTAGCAACAATACAAATGGTTCCTTTTTTGTGAAAAACCAAACTTTCATAAAGATAAGTTAGAGAATGCGACAAACAGGCAATRCAAAAAAAGGAGAAAAACTGAATACGAAACTTTTCAAAGGATGCCATGAAGACCAATACCTCAAAATTGTCCAACAAGGACTGTATTGAGTCATCCACCCTATCACTACGAACCAAAGAATTTGCATACGAATTATCCTGGGATATTTCCATGTTGAACTCACTCTCATGTTCATGTATGATCTCAAATTCAGGCCAAAGATGCTTGCTTGAAACTGTCAACAAAAGCAAATAATTCTCAGATAAATTTTAAGAGCTACTTCCCATACAAATCTTAGGCAAAGAAATTGATCCTAGAGTATCTACCAGATCTAATATAAACTACATAGCACATATTTTATCCATTCGTACAAAGTACATTTATCTCAGAGGCATTAACCTTTCAGATATTCTGCACAAAAAAAAATATTATGAAGTTCAAGCTAAGTAAGGAATGCACGAAAATTTGACATCCAGGGAAAGAACAAATCCCATAAAGTAAAATAAAAAATGCAAATCATCTCATTCCCATTAAGTGAGAAAGCTTTTTGTTCACAAACCTTTCTCAATATATGCTTCGTGCTGACTGTTAGTCGTTCCAGAACTTAACTGAGAAGACATGCACAACCGTTGGCAATCTGTTTTATGCCCAGTACGCCAATGAGTAGCCTGAAGATATAGAATACAGTCTTGAGGATCAGAATTTGGAAGTTATTTTCGATTTGACGTGCAGAAAATTGGGAATACAAGAAAATTGAACTCACAGCAACCCTGAAAATATGATACCTGATGTTTCTCAGAGCAATAACGTACTGTTCTACACTTGCTACAGACTTTGTCTCCTTTCCAAGTACCACACCAGTTACAGCGTGCAGCTAAGACAATACCACATACGTTAGACACATTTAATAAATCAGTGAAATCTTAAAGAACATAAATGTATTAAAATAATTTTATGAAGAATAAATCAAAACTACCTCCAGATTCCGAAGGTTTGTCAGTCCCATCATGTCTTGGAGGTTCACTCGAGTAAAAGGGATTACTACGAGATAATTGGCCACGGAAAACCTTCACACTTCCAAAACAATTACATTGTTACTAAAGAAACTGAAAAACGTAGAATAATAAACAAGTAAAACGATGGCACTCATCATAAAACCAGCTAGTAATACCTACGAGATGACTTCTCAGACTTGCATTTCCATTGCTCGTGTTGATCTCGTAGAAGACAAGTCATTGATGGACACATAAAAATAAATATTGTTCGATGAAATGTTGAGTCCTTCTCGACAATAGGAGCATAAATCTAATAATTCAATGAACAGGAAAAAACCGTCATAAGCTAAACTTCCATGTAGAAACATCAATAATAGTCTGCAATGAAACAAAAAAAAAACAACAAATAGAAACAGAGTTCACACCTAAAACAATAAACAAAAGGCACTACCTAACTCCTTAACATGTTGCAATTTGGAAGTAATTTTGCTATGTTTCTACCATATGTATTGATTGGCCATTGGACTCTATCAGTTTACAAAATCTTTCTTCCTTCTCGAATTACTAAGGTACCGTTTGATAAGGATTTCGTTTTAAAAAAATTATGCCTACGTCCTTTCAATTTCTTAGAATATTTTTCATCATTCTTACACACATATTCAAATTCTTAGCCCAAATTTCAAAAAATAAAAACAAGTTTTTTAAAACTACTTTATTGGCTTTTAAATTTTGGCTCAGATTATTAAAACATTTTCAACACAATTGAGAAACACAACGGTAGAAGTATCATTCATAAGATAAATTTTAAAAAACATAAAACTAAAAACAAAATGAATATTAAATGAGACCTAATTGTACAGGGAATGGAGAGAGAGATGCACAAGATGGAGAAAGCAAAAGAAAACAATTAGGAAAAATGAGAYCAAATATCGTTAGAACAAATACCTGAAGCAAAAACTGCAGAGGCTCTCCACATATATCACAAACGCAAGACCTTCCAGACGGCAAATTCACTGGATCCAACCAAGCCTGCGGTGCCAATTATTTATACAATCAAAGACTCTTAATTCACTTTACTCGTAATAACAATCCAAGACAAACAAAAATTATCCAACTTAGTGCAATTCAATCTTTTTAGAACTAAATTTTCGATTCTCACAAGCAACACTGAAGCTCAAGCAGAAAATTAATCAACAAATAATATCAAAGAAAAAAATTCGAATGATATGGACTRTGATTACACACCGGTACTCCTCCAGCCTTGCTTGGAAATAACTGAGGAAGAAGAGACCAGGAATTTTTTGGCTTCTCAACAAATCCTAAAACTACCGACTCTTCAGTTTCTTCATCCTCATCATCGTCATCGGTATCAAAGTCATCTTGCAACTCTTCCGTATCATCAATATCTTCGTCATCTAAAGAGGTGATACGGAGGCCATTAAGCTTTTCCATGGACTCCACCGCACCATTGCCAATTTCATCCATTTCGCCGGGCTACAGAATCAAACACCAAATACCATGCAATTCACAAGCTAAACTACGTACCTGCAATACAAATAGTATAGAATGTTATTTATTTCCAGTAAATTCAAAGTAAAGTTGGTGATTGGTTAATCTGAGGGAGAGAACTTCAATTTTCACAAAAAGCTGACCGTCTTCTTCACTGCCATAATTTTAATCTAAGAACTCATCAAAACCAACTATAACCTAMAAATTTAGATATGCTGAGGTTGTTCTGTAAATCAAAACAACTCCTAGACAAGTCCTAATTTGAATTGTTCAAGAGAGAAGAAAGAAATGAATCGAGATTGGACGAATACCAGTACAATGGAGGAGAGTAGAAAATCAGTGCAAACTGCTACGTTTTGGCGGCGGCGGCGGCGGCGGCGGCGCTGAGATGCTAAAAGAGAGGTGAGCCGGGCACCGCCGTGAAGAGGAAGTTGGAGCACGTGAGAGTGGAGAGTGGAAGATCAAACGGGTAGAAACCTAGGGCTTCTCTTTCTTTTATTTATTTATATTATTATCTTTTTTTTAATTATTTAAACATGCCTCACCTGGTTTACAAAAATATTTATAAAAAAAGACAAAATGTTTACAAAATTAATTTAAATTCGATCATCTATAAATTTTTTATATATATCAAAATGTGTGGGTGGCGTGTCTTTTTTCCCCGAATATACATTTTAATCAATTGAGTTATTTCTAATTATTTCTTTAAAAAAAATTTCAATTTAGATAAGTGATGGCAAAACATTAAAATCTTATTACTTAAATAATCATAGTTGAATTGATTTTATCATAAATCTTTTTATTAGAAAAAACTTAAATGTAGGGGCTAAAAGAGATTATATTTAAATCTTTTTAATTACAACAAAAATTTTAAATATCTATTAAATATTTTGATGGTTTATGGTTTGATCTCCATGCCTGTTGAGCTTAAAAAAGAGAAACTTTTGAGGTTAAAATTCCCTTCACTTGTAGAAATGGTTCCTCATTGACTCACCAAACCTTATACTATTTCAATTTGGATGATCTATATTACCAAAATACTAGATAGAGAGCATAACTCAATTAGTTAAGACACCCATTTCSATCAAAAGATGATAATTTTGTATCTAACCGTATAAAAGCAATTCGAATATCATCCCCACATGTGTACTAAAAAAATTCTAAATAAAATCATTAAATATATCAATTTTACAAAAAGCATCCTTTTATATATGTGTGTGTATATATCAATGAAGCAAGCCTAATAAACTTAAGGAATGGGCCCAACTAACTTGCCCATGCCCAATGTATTGGGCCTTGAGTTTCATACCTGATATTTTTGGGCCAAGCCCACTACTATCATTTTTTTTYCTTTTYTGATTACCACTACCATCATTCTTCCATGCATTTTTCAATGGCAGATATAATATAATATTAATTGGGTTAGACAAAATATAGTATTTACCCATAAAGTAAAACAAGGCATTCATTTGTTTCACAAAAAGAAAAAAAAATTCGTTTCCTATCTTAGTAACTTACTTGGCCTAAAATTACTCAAATTGTTATATAAAGTTGACCAATTAAAATGTTAATAGACTTGMAATTGACAACTTCATAAAAATTATTTAAAAAATAAAATCAATACATAAGGAATGAGATTAAAACTTTTAAAAAATTAAGAAAAAAGATTCAAACATCAAGTGATAAAAAAATATATTTAACCCAAATATTCAATAATTAGAAATAATAATTCAAGTGTCAACTATTCTTAAAAAAATAATAATAATTCAAGTGTCGATACAAATATAATAAAAATTTGGCAACATTTCAACTTTTACCCCCAAACTTAAGGTGTGGAGTCAATTTTAATACTAAAYTTTCAATTTTATTAATTTAAACTCTGAAATTTAATAAACGTTGCAATTAACACCTCACGAGCCAAATCAATAAATGGTACAAAACTCAACTAATAGAACACTCGAAATCATATCATACCTGTCCAATACTAAATCATGATATTACTCAAATCAAGACACAACATCGAACCAATAAAAAACACTCAAACTTGGCAACCAATTAAAATTCATATCGTATTAATTAAAAGCATCCAACAATTAGACATTATATCCAACCATTTGTAGCCAGGCACAAATTTTAACAAAAAAAAAWAATTAAAACTTAACTAATTGATGGTATTAATAATGCACCACTTAATTCTAAGTGTAGGGTTTAATTTGTAAAACTTATTCAAATTTGGGGTTTAAATTAACTGACGTAACTGAAAGTTTTAAGTTTAATTTTTAGGGGTAAAAAATAAAATTCTACCTAAAAATTTAAACCTAATGTAAACTAATGAYGATTTTAGTTTGAATATGAATCCAGATTTAATTACGTCACTCATTAACTATGACAATTATTGCAAAAATTGAAAATGAACTAATTACTATTATGAGTCAATAATTGATTAGTGGGTTCTTCTCAAAAAAAAAAAAAAATGATTAGTGGGTTTACATTTTTCCTATTTTATTTTTATCTTTCTAAGATCAACTTAATATTTTTTCCTTGTATAATAATAATTGTCCTTAAAGCTATGGTCAAACCCTAAATAATTGAGTTAAGAATAATCAACTAAAAAAGATTTTGTTTTTAAGTTCAACTAAAAAGATGATTATCTTGTATTCAAGTTAATTATTAGGCAGCTACATTTATTCAACTTTCTTTCTCCATACTTCAAAATTCAGCAGCCTTTTTTTGACTTTTTTTTTTGTTTTTTAATTTTAAATACGCTTAAAAAAATTCCTAGTAATGCAATTCAATTTTTCTTTGTTTGGATCATTTTTTTCTTTTCTAATTTCAATCAATCTCTAGGTTGTTTGGCTCAATAGCTAGATTTTAGTGAACCCTATGCTCGAAAGTCTAATTCATTCATGAGATTGAATACTTTATTCATGAATGATTTTTGATCCAATCTGTAGATATCAATAGAAAATGACAAATCTACTCGTATGAATTCACCTACTTTAGMTTAGAGGTCAATGGAGATATAATGAGGAATTAAAAACTTTTAAAAGTTTATTCAACGCGAGTTTTTGTACTTCGTAAAGGAATAAAATCAACTCAATTTATCTATTGAGTGCTAAATTATAAATAGATAGGATTTTCGGGATTTTTAGATGTCTGACATATTTAGAAAGTATTTTTTTTAGAAGAAAATTTATAAGGATATCTGAAAATATTTGGATAGCTATATATGTTTTTTCACGATTTATTCTTGGCAATGTTTAAATTTATCTAATGTTCCAAAAAATGCCCTTACTAATATTCATATAATTTAGACATTAAATAGATTTGTTTTTGTCCATTAAATTATGTTTTTTTGAAGAAAAATATCATTGTTAAAAAAATTTTACTTAAATTATAAAACAAAAAATAAGAATAAAGAAAATATGTTGTTGTGTTGTGACTCAAGCATATCTCATAGGTTATTAAATTAAAGAAGTTGGGTTGGGCCGTTAGTTCTTGTTGAAGTCCAATTATGTAGCTACTTGTGCAACCMTAATTTGGAGCCATTCTTCTGCCGTGAGATTGAGAAAAAATGCAAAATTTTGTTACTCTTYTTTACTACAGCAATCGAGAGTGGAAAAATCTACAGAAGAGTTTATTTATTTCTTCTTGTATTTTGTCCATTGTTTTCATCTTCTTCGTAGGTTGTTCTGCTTGGAGCATGAATATGTTTTTTCTCTCRTCTTCTGTTTGTGTTGTTCTTGGATATTGAAGCTAATAAAAGTTTTGTTCTCACTTTGCACAATGTAGACCACATTGGTCGAACCACATTAAATTTTGGTGTCGTTTTGTCTTCTCTTATCTACTTGATTTAGTGTTAATATTRCTTGATGGATTATTTGAATTAATGATTAGTATTGTTTGATAAATAAACCGTGGTTATTGACGCATTTTGCACAACATAGATAAAAAGAGAACGTGGGACAAAAAGGAATAAAAAGCATGGCTCGCCTCTGGTATGGGCATCCTAGCTAGGCTACTCGRATATATTTTGTGTATCCTACTTCTTGCAAAATAAAATAGGAATCCATTTGTTCGTCTAATAAAAATATYATATTCCCACAAAGTTTAGATTTRTTTGATTTCACGTGGAAATTATCTATTAATTTATAATAATAATTATGAAATGTTTATTCTTCAGAAGAATGGTTGGTTTTAAAATTGAGAAGCTRGACAAGTGTACGCTCCAACTCAGTCCAGAATCACCAGAAGGGATAAAACAAACCATCTGTATCCGCCAACCTGACGTCATACCGAGTTGAGAAGAATAATCCATCTCCACCGATCTGRGGGCCAAACGGTCTTGTCTCCCCTACCTGCCTATAAAAAGGGATACTCTATCTCATATATCAAGTACACAATTCTATTCGAGAACGACTTATCACAGTTCGAACTCACTCTAACTTGGACATTGGAGTGTTTGACCCATGTGCAGGTCACATTGTTACTTAAGATGGGACCTCGACAGCTCGCTTCGATTAGTTCGTAAACGACCTGTGGAGCTCAGCGGAAATTTGCATCAACACGAACTTTTCTCAATATTTGAAATTGTTAAAACACAAATACTTATCCTTTTTACGTTTAGGCAATCGCTCGGATGTTCTCCTAACCCATTGTTTTCTTGAGTTTTCTCTCGAGTAATAACAAGGTGTAAATAAAACAAAATTTTAAGGCATTGTATGGCGTGTACTTTTTTTTTTCCTATCTTTGATAAATAAAATAAAAATGCACTTGATAAAGGTAATTTTAASAACAATGTAATTTTAAAAACAAATTATAAAAAATAATGTAGATTCAAAAGTAATAACAAAATAAAYGTAGGTTAAATAAAAAATTATAAAATTAAGTTAGACATTCAAACTATTGATAAAAATAGATTAGATATTGRTCTAAGTCAAAAATCTCGTACAATAGATRCGATTTAGATGCCGACACTTCATATATTCTATTTATGGAAGTCGCGTACAATATACACGACTTTCTCAAAATATTTATATATTTATATTTTACAAATAAAATATTATTTTATTAATATTTTAATCAATTTAAATATATAATTAAAAATATAAATTCACATACATACACATCTAACAACAATAAATATATTTTGTAGAAAAAGCAGTCTAATTTATAAAAAGATATTATCACCTAATGTGTATAATGTACTCGGTTTCTTAAAATATTTTCTTTATATATTTATATCTACGTTGTTTTTTATTATTTTACCATCAAAGTATTATTTATTTTATTATGTTTTGACTATTTTAAATATATAAATAAAATTATAGATACACAGTCCATACATCCACATCCATAATAATAAAAAAATATATATATATTTATAAAAATAAGAAAAATTATAAGTAAAAATATATCGATCTAATTATTAGATAAAAAAGATTAATATATAATAGAAACATGAAATTGAAA